TGTCCTTTCCTTCTTCGGAGACGGCGAGAGGCTCAAATGGCGATGGTGGTGGAGGAAGAAGGAGGAGGAGGAAGAAGATCGGAACTCTCTCCCGTCCGCCGCCGTAGCTCTGCAGATCCCGCCATCCAAGGAGCCCCTGATCCATTCCCCCGATATTCGGCGATCCCGGGATCTCATGTCCGCCTAGCATTCCCTCGAGGTCTCCCCTCAACGGGACCGCGAGCCCAGCGCCAACGCCGCGGACGCTGCCTTCGCCAAGCGGGGCTGCTGCTTCTGGGTGTCGTTCCTCAGCTCCTCCTCCGACGACGAGGACCTGCCACCATAGCCCCGCCCCCTTCCCCTGCCACCGTAACCCCCGCCCTTGTTCCCCCCGCCGGTGCAGCCGCTCCCCTGCACCGCGGTGCCACCGGGGCCGGTCATGCCGACGGCCTTGGTGCGGTTGCTGTCGAACTCAAGTTGGATGGAGGACAGAAAACGCAGAAGAGGCGAGAGAGTGAGAGAGAAAAGTGGAAGAGAGGTCTTAGGGTTTCATTGTTTGGGTTATTGTTTGGATTGGGCTCGGGTACCCAAGCCCAATAAATCCAAACAATACCCAATTGTTTTTATTATTACCCAAACAAGTTGAGGCCCAACCCGACTCAATATGAAAATTTTCGGGTCGATTTGGTTCGGGTCAGGTCTTGTCTTGTTTGGCCGGGTTATTTTGACACCCCTATGTACGTGTACAACCATGTTAACTGAGTCAGTGAACAACATCAATCGCTAATCCTCTGGGTTCACATAAATCCCACTCACTGAAAGTAAAACTAAAATCTCTCAAATGAAAGATATTGGGATCTTAGCGCACAAAAACATTTGGAGCTGACCACATTTGTGTGCTATCCTGTAAGAAGTTGCAACAAGTAGATATACAAAGCTGAAGAAAACGGAACAACCCTACACATTCTCTCAACATTTTTCATATTCTCTTATCCAGTTAACCTTATTCCCCTACTTTCTTTCCTTTTTTCCAAAAGTAAAGATGCGTTTGGTTCAGAATTTGGAGAAAGCGATTGAAGAAATACAAAGGCCTTTAGCCTAAAGAGATTTGGTGAAATGCAATTACCGTTTGATAAACATTAATTGAAGAGTGCCTTGGCAAGTAATTTTGGAGAGCTCCCCAAAATCCTCCAAAAAATGAACCAAACGCCATTTGCATTTGGCCAAACCCCTTTAGAGCCCCAGAGCCCCTTCCAAATGTTGAACCAAACGCATCCTAAGTTATTTCGTTGGTTAGCATAAGAGGGAGCACTACACCCCCTATAAGGCCAAGGCGATATCAACAACACACAAGCACAAACGAACAACATTCAAAAAACAACTCAAACTAACAAATAGCCCAAGTGCAAGGACTATCATCTGACAGTACATCTGCAAACCAATTTCTACGACAAACGGATAATATTCATCACACAGATTTTCTTCAAACTGACGATTAGCTTTTCAAATACATTGCTACTGTCAGTCCCCGATTCGTCTATTCCTTGCAGGTTTATGTGATCTACTGGTTTACAAAAAGAACTTCCGAGTCTCTCAGTTTTTTAGTGTTAATTGATGAACTGGTCACTGTTCCATTCGGCATAAAAATATCTAAAAGAGACTAGACACTTCAAAAGTTCCTTGGCGGCAACTTTTCATCTTTGGCAAACTATGTGGTAGATCCATATTCTGCAACGGCGACTTACGAATCTGCTGAAAAGGGACAAGTACATATGTTTGTTACTAAGAAATATGACTTCCACAGTTTTGAAAGCTATATTGAAGGCTGCATTGGCTGTGATACTTTTATAGCTGCGTTTGTTTTGCGGAAGATGAATGACTTAAAAAATATTTTCCTAAATATGATCAATTGCATTATTCACAAAAATGAAATAACGCAAAATATGTTTATTATTAACGAAAATGTTTAGATATAGACTATTGTTGATAATGAAAATATTTGCAGTTAATTAATTTTCCTAAACTGCATAAACAATTATGTCTTAGATTATATTTTTCAAATCATTGATTAACGTGAAACAAATGAATCGTAAGGAAAACCTCCTTAACTTATATAAATCTCTTCTTATGCAATGAAACTGCATTGAGCCAAAAACTAAACAAATACATATAGAAGCCTTTTATGCGATTGAATGGATATATTTTTAGCCCTAACTTCAGAAGTATTTATGGGCTCAACCCATATAGTTTCGAACCTTTACAATTTTGCAGGCCCAGTTGACCCATTAATGCTATTTTCATTAATTTCTACACTTTCGAAGTCTCTTTATGGGCCCATGCAGTAGTGACTAAGCAATATAGGCCGGAGACCATGAAGCTTAAATCAAGCAAAAGAGTCCAATTACTTCCAACTTAAAGGGGTGATACGGTCTTTAGTCATAAATGAATATATAAAAGTATTGAAGATTTCAAATTAGTGAATGGAGGAAAGGAAATTAGAAGATGAATTAATCCATGAACAATCAAGTGTCTAAATCAACACTGACTTATTATCTCTTGTGTGCAAGGGAGACAAAGTTTATCAACGAAATGAGGACAGCAGCATGAGGAACACTTGGAAAGCCCATGGGCTCCTTTTGTTTAGGATCTCATTTCCGGATACGCTTTTGAGTCATCTTGTGGAACCGATCTCATCGCATTGGGATCGAGGGTAGTAATTTTTATCATGCCATGTCATAGCGTTCGTCTCATTAATCGGTGTGTGCCGATTTCTAATAATTGAGGCTTGAGTAAAAAACATGGCCCAATAGGATCAAATATTGGTTCTTGTTGAAATATGTCAATATGCGTCTCTTGTCTATATCGATGTAATCATATTTGCGTCGAGTCAGATACAAAGCTTCTCTCAAGTGACAAACTGATGTTATCTCATCTTAAGTGCAATTACTTCCCCTAATTGTATGGAAAACAACTTGTTCTTCACTGACTCAACCGCTTCTTTGTTTTAGCATTAGTTCCTTAACTTGTGGCATTTATGATGGCATTACCCGATGGCAACGGTGACAGTGATGACGAATGATACATAGTTGAATGTAAAAAAAGATTTTTGTTAACAAGTGCTCCAAAGGCAATAGTTAAAACACAAATTCCATAGGGCAGCTCCATTTCGTAATCCTATCAAAGGTTTGCAGCCTACTGAATCGGACTGGCCAGTCAATGAAAGCAATCTTAGACGCATATGCTTTCGACCAAAGGAGACGACGATGCCAACTGATTTTAAGTCCTCTGCATTTGACCAAATCCCATGCTGCAGCTGAGGTGAACTCCCCATTTGTCTTTTGAGTTTGAATCAGGAGATATGCAGCCTTGCTAGCCACAAAGTGCAGCCACGTACGTCAAACCCGCATATAAGACATTCTATAAGTCAAAATCGCAAGCCGAGAGCTCAAGTTATGTATCAACCAATTGTCTTTAGAGCGTCGCTATTAGATTCACGAGCCTTTGAGTCCATCTTGATTTCATTTAAATGCATACTCTGTTTAGACTGGTCCATCTTTTCACGGAGAGCCCATAAAATTGTGTAAGTTCACTTACCCAACTTTTTGCCTAGGTGAAAACTCGCAATCTATAATTCCTCCATCATTGGGGAATAACATTTGGTTATGTGCGTGTACTTGCACCGGCACTAAGTAAGATCCAGGACAGACATGTTAGGATTTGAATCCCCCACCCAATGAATGAAAGGATGAACATGAAATTTCTATGTCGAGCTCGAGGCAGGGTCGCATTACATTTCTATGCTCGAAGTGGTTGTGCTAAATTGGTCGAGTTCCCATTTGGTTGGACTTGATGAGGCCAAAACTTGTGCCCGACTATCTTATAAAAGATAAGCAGATGGCAATGTTTCCTCCGAGGCAACTTCCATAGTTGTTTTTGACAGGACGTATGGAACTATTAATATGATCTGCAGCCAACAAAAGTTGGTCGCAGGATTGAAAACTTCATCGGGCAAATTCAATGATTTACTCGAAGTCCGATCATGACCAGGGCTTACTAGCCTTCTCATGTATTCAGGAAAATTGGTCGAGTTCACATTTGGTTATTACATCTTCAAGTTTAGTGCGTAAAGTGAGATTCCACAGTGATTTAAGTCTTCATGAAAATTAATGGATTTAGTCGCTCAAACTTTCTTCCTAAAAGACGCGCTTAAATAAAGACCCTCGGTGTAATGGAGCAAGTCCCACTTCTGAACAACCAGACACGACTAGATAATGTGATCCCTTGCTGATCTTGGCAACCCATGCTCGTCAATTGAGGCAACACCAGCACTGGGAAAACAGAGGCAGGGAACCACACAAGCCACGAAATAATCAGGCCCCCAAGTAAAACCTTCTCTCTCTCCTTGTGCTTTGCTAAAAGTTAGCTTTCACTGACTTAGTCCTTTGCAAAGGCACATGTACGATGCGTCCGGAGTGCTCATACGTAATGGTATCATCAACCCATCTAGAGAAGCCACGGTCTTCGCGCTACAAGCACAAAATGCACAAATTGTCTACTTGCAGCCCGTGATCGAAAATAGGTTTATGCCCTAAATCTCCAAAGATGGGCAAACTTCACTTACCCCATGCCTTTTGCAGGGAAGAAACTGCCTCGCAGCAAGAAAGGAACGCTGTGATCGTCACGATGCGCTTTTTACCGTCGGGATGAAGGGATATTCGGAACAAGATAGTCCCAATTTGGGAAATTTGTTTTTTAGAATTCTTAAAGTAAAAATCATAGGATATTTAATTCTTAAAAAAAAGGAAAAGACAAGACAATGCTCTGTGAAATGACCAAGACTAATAGTAGGGACCATTAAGAGATAATTGGAGGGGGGGGGGGGCTTGGGGGTGTTGCTGTGGTTGTCGGTGGCGCAAATTTCAGCATGTCGTCAGCCAATCCTTGCGTCCATAACTGGATGCCAATCATGCCACCAAGCTATTGATCTCCCATCACCAGCAGTATTCTCAACTAATCTACTCATTCAATCGAACACTTCACAACATCAAATTCAAGTTTTGCTCTCTGCACAATGACGCACAAAAGGTTGCACGCATGTGAAGCATCAAGCTTATTTTACATTCAAAATGAAAACGAAACAATAGATAACCACACTCGAAGAATACCGTCAAGGGTACTCACTACCACACATCCCACACATATGTCCTCCTGCACCTGCAGGCTGCAGCTGCACCTGGACATCTTTATTCGGAACAATTACAAGACACACACAAGAAATAAATAACAAAGCATTCCAAACTTGATGAAGACCACATCTAGCAAAGTACGCAGACAACGAATTTCTTTCGTAGGGCTGCTGATTCCATCCGTTTTGAATGACTTTATGCTCCATTAGATCAACTATCTGGACGCATATCAAGCTGGACTTGTGGATATGCAATCATCATGCCCATCTAGTATTGCCGTTGCTAGTGCCACTGCAACAAAAATCACAATCCTCAGCTTCAAATCCATTATAAGAGTTTACGACGGTACGTTGTGTAAATTTGAAGCTGCAGGCTCTTGGATCCTAACTATCGCCAACAGCAAAAGCATAAATGGTCGCATTTATACGGAAACCTATTCTGTTTCAAGCAGCCATTCATATATCAGGTACATGTACAGAAGGAAGAAAGTGAAAACTAACAGAAAATCGTCATTGGGTGACGCAGTTATGAGTAGTTTGAAAGAGATACACTCATCTGAACATTGACCTGACTAGTTCTATGCGAGGATTTAGAGTTTATGTTTTTAAATTTGCTTCCACAAGCATTGGGTTAATAAAAAGTAAAAATTAACTAAAACATCATTTTTCTTTTTTCGAAAAAAAACAAAAAGGTTTGTATTGAGATTAGTCTTGCAATTATTCAGGCAAACATACCTACACATTTTCCTTTTAGCTTTGAACATTTAGGCGCTATCTTAAGTGCGTTGAACACCATTTGTAATTAACCTAGGAAAATGACAGGTATATAAAGCTACTGGTAATAAGGAAACAAGAACAAACAACTACCAAAAGCTCAAGAAGTAGCAAAGTGAAAAACCGCATATGCAATTGATGTGGTTTCATTTCAAGAGGCAGATCCATTACATTCTGTTTCTTCGAAGGCGAAATATAAAGTGTTCCAACCTTGACCTCAGACAGGGCTGGGAATCTCCCATCAATCAAATCTAAACAACAATTGCTGAATAAGACATTATTGGACAAATGGAATAGGGATACCTGTTTATGCAGTGATTGATTTAATCTCATTAGCCTACTTGTCCTCCACATTTAAAATTTTAGCTCATCTTTAGTTGGAATATGGCTTACCTGGAGCCTTCAATGGAACTATTTCATGCATTGACGAAGCACCGAACGGATCCCTGTGCCCCGCGTTGGGAGCTGTTGGACTTCCTCTAGAGCTGGATCTTTCCATTCTTTAAATTTAACCTTCATGTGCTTGCGAAGTTCTTCAATGAATACCTTGATCGCCTTATCAAATTCCTCGGGCATACCATAAAGTTCGAGGCATTTCAATTTTGTGGGATGTGTGATAAATGGTGGCACTGTTGTCAATGAATTGCATTGAGCTAGGAACAACCTTTCCAGAGCCGGCAGTGCACCTTGATCAACTTGTATGGATTCAAGTTTGTCAAATCTATCCAGGCCTAAAAAGCGAAGTTTTTGAAACTTCTCTACCTCAAACCTCATGTCAGTTACATCAAATGCTTGTTCCAGTTCCAGATGCTCCAGACTCAGTAACTTTCCCAACTGTTGGAGTGCATCTATTGTCAATTCACTCCTCTTGAGGACCAATTTGACCAAAATATTAGAACGGAGTATCCACTCAGGTAAAGTTCCCAAGCATCCTGTCAAGTGAACCCGCTGAAGACGTTTGAGTGCTTGCCTCATATCTTTTTTTGAAAGATCTATTTTCGCTTCTGGTGCGGCAATTAAACGCAATGCTACTAGATTTGTCAACTTCTCAATGGAAGAGCAAAGACGCTCCGCATCTGTACTTTTCAGCATTGAGAGACCTAGCCTTTGTAAATTGGTCAGTTTCTTGAGTTCTTCTAGCAACTGTTCTCTTTCGTGTTGACTTCCCCCCTCAACTGCTTTTAGCTCTATCATGCATAGCTTCTGCAACAATGTCAAGTCTCCTAATTTTGATGGAGCCTTGACACCAACCTCTAGACTTCTGTTGGATCTGACAGCAAGCGTTGGATCCGCATCTGCAGCCCAACTTCTGTTGGATCTGGATACTAACAGATGGCGAAGTACTTTTAGCTTCAAAATACCTTTAGGTAATTCATCCACGAGGGTACCTTTGAGATCCAAACTCTCCAGATATGCAAGATCTTCTATTTCGTTTGGAATAATCTTTATGTCAGTACCCCTTAAACTTAGGTACCTAAGATATTTTGACCGGAGAATCTTTCGAGGAAAAGTATTCAAAGAAGCTGGAAAATACTTTTTTTCCTCCCCGGTCAAATATCTTTGAAAATCTAGCACCTTAAGCCTCTCAACCTTCTCCAATAGATTTTTCAAGGATGGTGGGTGCACCTTTTCGAAGAAATGTAGGGAGCGAAGTTGTTTGACGGACGTGCCATTATCTATTTCGCCCATAGGGCTGTGAAAGGATAGGTAACGTACATTCTCAGGCAATCTTTCTTCCGGGTCAGCAACAATCATCGTGAACGCTTCATATTTTAACTTGGAAATAATGATTTGATGCAGAAGGTTGTGAACGCGGCCGGTTTTGACCCTCCCATAACTTGTTCTCTTTTCCCGAATTACATTATGCTCCAATAGCTTTTCCAGGGTTTCCATTGCTTTTTCTTGAACCGGCTGGGAACCCTCCTGCTCAATAAATCCTTCTGCCATCCATAGCCGCGTCAATGTGGAGCACCTTATGGGACGATCTAACGGGAAGATGCTCAAGTACAAAAGACAATCACGGACATCATCGATAAGGTGGTTCAGGCGCAGAATTATCTTCCTTCCACTTGCGGCAACTACGTGCCCTCTGGATAGCAGTTTTTCCTCAAGCCTGCCACTCCAATCCGTCCATTGAACAGCATCGGGAGTGGCTGCAACATTAAACTGATTATTACTTTTCAGCAGCCTACAGGTCGCCAGAATCGCAAGTGGCAATCCTTGGCATCTTCTTAAGATGCGGTCAGAAGCATCTTTTAAACTGGGAGATCTGTCGCACTCTAATTGAAGATCCTCCATCTCCCGGTAAAGGAGAGAGCGAGAATCATTCTCGGAAAGGACAACATGCTCGAAATTATGGAGATCATATTGGGCCTTTAAATAATCCGGGGAGCTAGATTTTAGGCTCCTGACCCGAGTTGTGACGAGCACAGTCGGAGGATTTTCAATTAAATGACTCCGGAGGGACCTGAACACATCCGCTCTGCCTACGTCATCCAAGACGAGAACCCAATTGAACTTGTTGGCCGTCGAGCCGACGTTCTTCTTCATGTCTCCGAAAGCCTTTGCGAGTTGAATTAGGCTTCTTTGGCGGTTCACCTGGGTCAAAGTCCACATCGTTGTATTTGCCGCCATGAGCGCTGCCTCTGTATTGTCGGCCAACTCCCAGGGTCCTAAATCCATCCATACACAGTATTCAAAGTGACTCTTCACATTTTCATTGCGAAGCACGGCAGCCACTAGACTAGTCTTCCCTACTCCTTGCACCCCGTGCACGAAAATCATTTTCGGCATCGAAGATTTCCCTGTTAGGCATTGAACCAGCTTATTCATTGGCCCTTCGATGCCCACCAAATGGTCTGTCTTATCAAAAATGGCGTCGGATGATGACCCATGGCCAGCTGAGCTGGACGGCTGGGCATGGTTGATGGTTAATCCATTAAAAGTCTCTGCAGGAGCGGTTATCCCGAGATCAGCTGTGAAATCCTTCCACATCTGTTTGATATCTCTTGATTCAACAGTCAAAGTTCGCTTATTCTGGTGGTGGCGGAAGGAGGAAGCAGGACCTTTTCGCTTGCCCTTCGATTCACGTCGAAAGTCCTCGATAGCGTCTTCAGAATCAAAGAAAAACTCCCATATTCTCTTGATGTACGGTTTGAGCTGCTCATCGGTGACCTCCTTCGAGTAGGCTTCATTGAGGAGACGCCCCATCATTTCGTTAAACACCATGAGGATACGAAGCTCTCTTTCAGCATCTTTAGCCAGTTTCAATTCTTCTTGCACCATTCGCCATCCGCGAGTAATCAGCTCCACCAGATCACGCACCGCTGAAGTGTACGAGGAGGGATCCATTTTCCCCTTCTCTGGTTGGATCGCGGGGGGAAAAAGAGAGGATGAGAGGGGGAGAGGGGGAGAGGATGTAATAGTCGCCGATGGAAATGGCCCAGCTGGACCATCATGTCAAAAAATTAATTGTGTAATCCGGCTTTTAAAGTGTGAACATCATGTCAGAAAATCTTTTAAATGAAGTCCACTAACACATGCATGCAAAATAAGTTAGTATTAACATGATATTTAAAATAGGTAAAACGATCTGAAATCTATAGATTTTCGAAAAAATAACTTGGTATAAAATTAAATTTCTTCCATGCTTTAATTTTTTTTTAAATAACAGTGTGCTTTTGTTTGTTGGTCGCACAAGTCTACCAAACCACCCGCATAATTTCCATGTGTCAAGAGGGTTTGAGATTAATCCGTTTGTTTGCTAAAAAGTGAACTCTAAGAGTATACTTTCATCGGTTTTGATGCTAAAAATTCACTTAAATTGGAATGTTCACTTTGGAAAATAAGAAAAATAACTTTCTTTCTTGAAAAACGGAAATTAATTTTCGCACTCTCCCATGGCACACCATCCTTCATCGCTATCTTCTTTGTAAACCTTATTCACCCACTACCACCGCCGCACCACCGCTATCGCTGGCCACCACACTTCATTGAACCACCGCTGCCACATCATCACCATCTTCTTCATCATCCACGGTCATCTTCAATCAAAGATAAAAATAAAAAAATTGCCGCCACCATAGCAGTTTCCTTTTTTTTCGCAGCCCCTCTCATTGCCATCATCATCTTCTACGATCAACCATCCAAGACGCCGCCGCCATTGACCATCGCTTGGAACCACCATCAAGAATCCGCAGCCACCACCGTCCACGATGCCAAGGGCTATGAACCTTCACCACGACCTGAAACTGTCCGGGCCCGGAGACTCAATTCCGCGTATCATTTCCAACGCCACCTTTGTATCAAACTTTTTGGTTTCGATCCAATTACCGACCCCCATAAATTCATTACAATCTTAAAATTCTTATCTAGCGTTTGGACAGAAATCAAATTCCCACATTTGGTTCAACGCGGTCAAGAAATGATATTCAACTTCCTCCATTTGTCATGTTTAGAGAAAAATAAGAATGTCAATTAGATTCCACATGACATATAAATTTTCTCAAAAAAACGTGGAATTAGATTACCTAATAATAAGGAAAAGTATACTAAAAGTTCCAAATCTATTGTACATTTATCAGTTTAGCACCACAATTTTTCGATTGCTTGTTTAAGTTCCTAACTTTCAAATTTCGTTCATTGGAGTGACTCCAACTACTCAGATCGTCTGAATTGGTGACGTGACATTATTTTAATGATAAAATTGTTGTTGCATTTTTGAATAATGCCACGTCAGCTATTCCGCAAAGCAAGTTGCTGATATATAACTTAATTAAACGAAAATTGAAAGTTAAGGAGCTTAAATGAGCGATTGAAAAGTTATGGAACTAAATGCAGCTATGTGCGAAAGAATTGGAACTTTTAGTGTACTTTTCCATTAACAATAGCTAGTTTTTATATTTTAATTCTACGTTCCTACCACCACACAACTGTCAACAGCCCAGATCCATCATCAACATCGCCCACCACCACTGGTCGTGGGTGCTGCTGCCGATCATCGAGTCCCCACTTTCATTGGTCGCCAGCCCATAGTCGCCGATCACCTATCGGTGTCGCCAGTGAGAAGTACTCTTTCATAGAAGATCACATTTCTTTTCTTTTCTTTTCTTTTCTTTTTTAACAATCCAAACAATTGAATGGAAATCTTATTCCACTGAATGATATCACTTGGAATGGGAAATTTACACGGGGATTTTTTGTCGTGGAACCAAAGGAGACCAAAATACTTTAGCAAGGTAGTTCAAATTAACAAATCACCCACAGATATCTATCAAGTGGAAAAGTGTCAATAGAAATTTTAACAAGCGATTCCTAGAAATATTGTGCATGCAGATTGTAATATAGTATATGAATTCGTGACATCTCAAGTCTCACACTAGTTTAGAGAGGCCATATTGAGTGATTCATAAGTCAACATATATCTTTAAATGGTCATCACTTTGTGTATTTACAAAGAAAACTTCTTTTGGGGTCTTAGCCAATGTGGAATGAACTAAGTCGTTAAAGATAGTATCAGAGCATGATCTCCTCTTGTAGACGTGTGGTTTGTGGATAGACTAGGTGCATACCCAATCCAGTAAGTGCGGGACAAGGTGCCACTGTAAGCATGCTTCTAGGACAAGAGAAGGTGCAGGAATGAACGAGGCCACACCTCATTTATGGGGAGTACTGCTGGATGATGTAGGCCGAAAAAAAGAGTAGTTTTTGGTCATGCAGTAAAGATAAGACATTATTTCTTCAATTATAGTGAAGATAAGAAATAATATAATGTGCTTAAGACATTTAAATCACTAACTTATTTGTTAAAACAAAAGTTATAATGTTTAAATAAGTTTCTTTTGGCACTGAAAAGTTTACTCCGTTTATTGACCGAGATCAGAGATGAGGCTCGTTATAGAGTCGACCCAAGGTGGACGGAGGAAGGTCAGCATTTAGTCCAAACGTTCCAAAAGATTAGTCACGGCCCCTCGCAATGACAGGAAGTTAGACAAGGATTCATTGACTGCGCGACATTCACAATGGATAAGATCGATAGATAAAGTTGAAGACAGTTGCTCGAACTGTCGGTGGATTTTTGGGGCCAAATATGGACGGAAACAATTATAAAATGGGAGAACTGCAGACGAATAGACAGGCACAAACTCCTGAAGGACAAGATTTTCTTCTTTCAGTGTCCTTGATTTCCTTACAATCTATTTCTAAATAACTCCTGCAATTTATTTCCACTCATTTCAGTTGTTTATTTACCTTTGCCAATCAAACACTTACTCTTCCCTATAGAATGATTTGTGTTGTCTTTAGTGACATCATTTCATCAATTTTTCAAACTTGATTATCAAGTTCTTGTTCCTCTCTTAGTTTACAATAGTCTACTAAGTTGAAGCTCAAGAACTGTGATGTTTGGTCAGGATGGTTGATTGATTAAAGGCGCGATAATTTCCATTGTCTCAAGTCGACAATTCAAGGAGAGTGATTTTTGAGCAAGAAAAATGCCTAAAAGAAATCAGAAATGTTAGCGCGAGTTATATATCACGAACGCAGAGAAGGTTACTTTCGTGCACCAAATCATTAGCGTACCAAAATTGGAACTCTCGTGCTAAAACTGCAAAACGCAAATCTCTGTTCTCAGAAAATTTGGAAGTATACGAATGAATTTCGAGGTCAAATCTCATTCTATTGAATGAGTAGAGAGAGCACAAAACCCGATTCACCATTTGATATTGAATTACCACAACTGATATTTATTCATAGCATATTAGCATGCTGATTTCTATCTATGCGGCAATTTTCGCCAAAAATTCTCCATTCATGAACAACTTCCCATTCTCCACTCTTCTGGTTCCTCACAATCTTCATGAACATCAATTGTAGTGATCTGTTATGACGAGATTGGGGAGTGATAGTTGGGACCAAATAGGTCCTAACAAAATGCAGATCTTGGAAAGCCTCTTGGATGGAAAAAGAAGTAGGATTGCACCAAATTGTACAAAGGAAGAGTGTTTCTAGATTGCATTTGTTAAATTAAAATTGACTCACAACATGCGTGTTTGGGTGCAACAGTATTCTTAAGCATTCGAATGCAATTGTTAAGCATGCTTAGACAAGTGACTACTTGGGTGAGTCACTTCTTCGGTCACAGATATTCTAAGGTTGCACCCTTCCATATTAGCAGTGGAAAATCTCGATTCATGAACAAGAAAATACTCTTAAACAATAGAAGTGGAAAATGCTCTAAAAAATTAGAAGTGGAGCCGCGATGAGAAATCAAAACACCTACTAAATAATAAATTTAAACTTTCTTAGGAAAAATTAGACAAACGAAACTCATGAACAAAATTTAGAAACTGGCAGCACACTCAACATCGACACAAAATCCACGGTGACACCGAGTTTTCGTTTCTACTCGAACAAGTTTTTTTTGAACAAGTTGAAGTAGATATCTTTTAGATTGATTCCATCAGTGCTTTCCACCTGATGGGAACAATGGGCTTCATCAGTGCTTTTTACCTGTTGAGAATAATGGGCTTCACCAGTGCTTTCCACCTGACAATGTTCCCAGTGGCCGGCCCTCCATCGTGTGAAATAGACTTCAGGTATGCCCTTAAATATTTGATAGTCATCTTTCTCATGGTCCGCCCGTACCTTGTCGTAGAATTCATGAGACATGTCAAAAAAAGTGAGCTTTTGGATATTGCGAATGTGTTCGATGCCAGAGGGCATCCTTTCCAACCATTGACAGCGGCTGATGGTCAGGTTTTCAAGACACGACATTGTTCCCTTCTCCAAACTCACTGATCTAAGCCCCTCCAATTCTTCAAGCAACAAAATCTTGAGCTTCCGAAAATGCTCATTCTTGAAATCCAATTGGCTTCCATCATAAGCCCGACGTAGTTCCAGCTCTACTAGATTCGGCAATTTCCCGAGGGTTGCAAGGAGATCTTCCTCCAGCTGACTCCATCTTAACATGATTTTTGTCAAATTATTGAGGGACGATATCCAAGCTGGCAACTTCTCCAAACGGCCATGCAAGTAGAGACGTTTAAGAGACTTGAGAGGTGAAGTTCGAGACTCGGACTCGGGAGGTGAAGTTAGGTAATCGAGATTAAGTATCTCGTCCTCGTCAAGCGCATGTACATTGAGGGACTTTAGCTCCTTTAACTTCCCAAGGGAAGTGCACAACGACTCACCATGTTCCTTTCTCAACTTCGTGATTCCCAACCTCCTTAATTTTGTCAGATTCCCAAGATCTTCCAATATGCTATTGTCTGATTCCACGAAACAGAGCTTTTCTAGGTCCAAGAACCCTTTGACGCTGCATGATGCCTTGAAGCCAATTAGGTTGTAACTCTGTGTCAGGGGGTCTTTCTCATGATGATAAATCAGGATGTGACGAATTTTTTCTAGTCTTTCGACCTTGGGAGGCAATTCAGTGACCAAGCTATGTTTAGCATCCAAAAATTCTAGACGCGTAAGCATTTCGATTGAGTCTGGGATTACTTTGATTGACGTATTCCTTATGCTCAAGTACCTGGCATTGGTCAGCTCGAAAAGTGCGTCTGGAACGACCTGGAAAGGTGCATCTGTTAGATCCAACACCTTGGAACGCTTTAACTTGGATGGAAACGATGGAGTCTCGGAAGTCTCCAAAGCTTCGGAAGTTGCTGTCTTATCCCCATTGGAGGAGACATCAAGCACGAATGTTGAAGAAAGTTGGAATTCTTTGTCTTTGTGCAAAGCCCTGATCAGTCCCTGGACAGATCGGTATCTTACCCTTTCACGGCCGTTGGCGCTGTCCTGACTAGTTATGGTTACGAGGTTGTGAATATCGGACAAGGAAACAATAATTTTTTGCACATGCTTGTCCACTCGGAATGTGGAGAGCTCTCCATCACTTTTTTTTTCCTCCGGATGGATGCACTTTCTATGGAGAAGATCAATGAAAAAAAGCTCTGCTCTTCTCAGGTCGCGTAGCATTCTTTCTGCAGCCCATAAACGAGAAACTCTTTTACAGCTGATCCGGCTATTTTCGGGGAAAATGCTCAAGTACAAAAGGCAGAATAGACGGTCGTCGTTACGAAGGATCTCCAACACTTGCTGGATAGGGTAAAGTTCAGGACCATCGGCCTCACCAGGGGAGGGCTTATCAAGGATCACCCCCAATACTTGTTGGATAACGTGAAGTTCAAGACGGAGGTCAACTGAGGGGATCCTCGCCTTCCATTCATCCTTTATTTCAGATGAGTTGGACCTCCACAAATCTTCCTTCTCGTGCAAGACGAAAGTGATTGCTGTAGGCAGTCTCTTACACTTGCTAACAATGAGTTCGCAAAGTCGCTTCGATGGAGAATGAAAACCATCTTTCAGGAAATCCTTCATATGGTGTGCCCGTGGCACAAAAGATAGATCCCCCAGTTGATAAGTTACGAATTCGCGGCCACACTGGTTGATTTGGCCATATTGGTAGACTTGGCTGTCCGGCGAACCCATCTTGGGTCTGGCTATGAAGATCACTCGGCATGTCTCGACTATACGCAAGACTTCTTCGAATTTTTTCCAAGTTCTCCCATCGTCTAAATTATCAACCACAATGAGGCATCTTGCCTTTTGCTGCAAGGAGAATTCATCGTCCGTCGCCCAAAAACTGCTGTCAAAGTTTTTGGGGAAGGCGGCCCTCTCAAAAATAAGTTGCAGAAGTATTTCTTCACGGATTGACTCAGAATCATTTTTTTGTGGAATGCTAATATAGGCGATGGTACTAAAATGCTCCCGGACATCTGCACACACCTCCCTGACCAAGGCCGTCGTCCCCGACCCTCCCTCTACCAACACATCCTTCCTGCCGGAGTCATCCCAAAGCAAATTCTTCAGCTCCCAAAAATGACTGCGATATGTGACCCCAGCACCTTCTCGGATCGGAGCTGAAACCCCTGGAGGACTTTTGGTGACAGAACTTCCTTCCCCTGTTTCGTGACGCCGTTTGGAGGCAGATCCCTTTTCCGATGCTTTATCTTCAATATTGGAGGCCGATGCTTTATCGTCAATATTGGAAGCAGATCCTTCTTCCGATGCTTTATTGTCAATATTGGTAGCAGATCCTTCTTTTCTCATGACGACCTCGACATCCCAGAGGAAGGTGGTGTGGTGGGGGAGGTCGTGGATGACGGCGTAGTGGCGGCCGGTGCAGAGGAAGCTGCCGTAGTGGGTGCGGAGCTTGACGTGGGTGCCCTCCATCATGGGCTCCCACTCGGTGGGCACCCACTCGGAGTCAAGGAGGGGAGGGGGGGATTGGAGGACCAGGCAGCCGGTCATGCCAAGGGGGGAGGGCTCGTCGGAGGCAGCGAGGTACTTCCCATAGCAGCTCTTGAGGCGGAGGACGGAGTCGGAGTTGAGGACGAACTCGACGGACCACCTGGCTCTGTCAGAGAAGTCATTGTCCCCCCGGGCGGCGGTCTCCTCGTCTCTCCACCTGGCTCTGTCAGAGAAGTCATTGTCCCCCCGGGCGGCGCTCTCCTCGTCACTCTGCAGGGCGGCGGTCTCCTCGTCACTCTGCAGGGCGTCGGTCTCCTCGTCACGCTCCAGGGCGACGGTCTCCTCGTCACTGGTCTCCTCGTCACTCTGCAGGGCGTCGGTCTCCTCGTCACTCTGCAGGGCGGCGGTCTCCTCGTCACTCTGCAGGGCGTCGGTCTCCTCGTCACGCTCCAGGGCGACGGTCTCCTCGTCACTGGTCTCCTCGTCACTCTGCAGGGCGTCGGTCTCCTCGTCACTCTGCAGGGCGGCGGTCTCCTCGTCACGCTCCAGGGCGACGGTCTCCTCGTCACTCTGCAGGGCGTCGGTCTCCTCGTCACTGGTCTCCTCGTCACTCTGCAGGGCGGCGGTCTCCTCGTCACGCTCCAGGGCGGCGGTCTCCTCATCACGCTCCAGGGCGGCGGTCTCCTCGTCACTCTGCAGGGCGGCGGTCTCCTCGTCACGCTCCAGGGCGGCGGTCTTCTCGTCATGCTCCAGGGCGACGGTCTCCTCGTCATGCTTCGCCACAAGGTAGCCGTGGGGGCTCCGTAGGCGCACCGTCTGGGCGTTGCGGAAGAACTCCATGCCCGGTGGGAGGCGGCTGCCGGCAATGGAGATCTGTTGTTTGCGGGAAGAGAAGAATTAGTTTATTTATTTTTGTATTCGGACAAGAGAGAGAGGTTTTCTCGGCGAGGTGTGGGATTTGATTGAATGAGTCCACGTTGAAAGACCCGAAAGACAATATGAAACGCCGTCAAACATGACTTGTGAGTGAGGGAGGATCTTCGGCCCACCAGGAAGCGCCCTTTGTCCTAATTTTGGAGTGAACAGGCGGTCTCTCTTTTGGGAAGTCGCGTCTCTCCAAGAGGCGATTTGAGGTGTTCCTTCCTTCTTTCTTTTTTTCTGCCCTCTTGAAGGATAATCTTGAATTTGGTCCTCGAGATTATTATTATTATTATTATTATTATTAGTTGATTATCAAACCTTTTCATTAGCACAACTAGGTCCTCTAGCTGATTAGCATTTACCACCGAGATGGTTGGCCGGTGATTTAAAATTCAGCCGTGCGCGTGTCCAGGTCAAAGAACTAGAAAATCTAAACACTTGCATTCTGGTTCCGTAATTGCAAAATTCGGATTGGTCATTTTACTAATTTACCGAATCGAAGAAATCAACGGCTTGTTACAGTTAACGGGCAAGGCCAGCGATGCCTAGAAATCTTGAAATCAACTAAAATGCTGCCATATAGAAACCTAATAATGGAAAAATAGGTACCATGTTTCTTATTACCGAAAAAAGATGCACAAACGGGAGATATATCTCGAGTGTTTGAAGCCAATTAAATCTTGTGATAAGATTTGTTAATTCTTTTGTGTGATTGAAATATTAATTCATGAGAAATTATTGGGCTAAACACTGTGTAAGTTATTGGGTGTAATTAGGGGCATGGAAACACTGTGAGTGTTCGAGTGTGATTGTAATCTCCGTTGTATTGCTTAATCTATAATGTAATTCTTTGATGCTCTCCCCTTGAACATAAGTCACATTGACTGAACCACGTAACACTAGTGCCTGATCTATTTTCTTGTTTTGTCTATTTTACTATTCGATCGCTTACTTCTGCAATAGGTCAATCGGCTGAGACTTAGGGACAACCCCATCAAATTTGACCGTAATAAGAGCACTGAGGGTCGATTCTTGACAAAGGTCTCCATCATCAGAATTCAAATCAAGGTCTTCAGGCATATTTGAAGTCATGATGCAGAGAGTGAACTAGATTAGATTGGATGGGTGACATCGAACTTTAGATGATCTAAAAATTACCACAATTCATTGTACTGTGATAGCAAGGCAGTGCTATATTGTTCACATATTGGGACTACGGCTATGGATAAGCAAACATCACATATTTGGATCATAAGTGGTGTAAAGTAGTTATAACTCCATCTAAACAATATGCGGAAGGTGTAGAACCATTATGAGTGTGTGTCAAAGGGGATACTGCATCTCACGATTAGTGATCTCCTACCCTCGTTATTACTCCCTTTCGATGCTTCAATTATCTCGACTGTTAATCCAAGTGAGACAGATTAGTTTGGAAACTTATAACTGAATAGATCAATGGTTAATGCTAAGCCCAAAGAAAAAATGGATTAAGATTTATAATAACTTGGCCACCACAGGGGAGCACATGTGGGGCAGATAATATTCGTCCCTCGTAACTCCTCTCCGCCCTTCATACTTAAAAAAATGATGCTTCATACTTAAAAATCGATCTAAAATAATTGAAGAATGAGGTAAGAAAAAAAAAAAAAAAAACTCAATTGTTCTCTGTGACACTATCAAAACTGAGTAAAAAGTAGAAAAGCAAAATTCCAAAATACGACCTAAGTTGAATGCATTTTCTGAAAAGAGCCCCAGGATGGCACTTGTCTCCATTCAACCCCCAAGCCTCCTCGCCGGTGATAAAATGCACCTCCTAGCAATCACGTGCTGATCATGCGCCCCTTTCTTGTCCTTAGGCAGGGCCATTTTTGTCCACAAAGTACATCCCCCAACTAAAGCCGCCCAAAAAATCCTCAAATTTCTAATTCCTTCACCACATAAAACCCTAAATCAATAAAAAGAGCCGGTGTCAATCACGTTCCCTTTTCTTACCATTGGATTTGGGCATTTTTATTCCAAAAGGACATTTCCCCTAATTAAAACTTCGAAAGAAAATCCTAAATTACCCTATTCCTTGGCCGGACATACACTAAATCAAATTTGAGAGAAGAGAACGTGAAATTGCGACTCCAATAAGAGCAATTGAACAACTTGACAATTCAATCGGACTTTAAGAATCAACTTGATCAGCTGCTCCTTATGACCGTGTAATCCGACCAGATCACCTCCTTGGGTCCGACCTGAATCCCCTGGAGGACTTTTGATGACAGAAGTTCCCTCCCCTGTTTCGGAATTGCCTTTTGGTGGCAGATCCTTCTTCCGATGCTTTATCGTCAATATTGGGAGCAGATACTTCTTCTCCTCCCTTAATGGCGTCTGGGTGTTTGCGGTGTTTTTCGGAGAATTGATCTGGACGGAAGCTGCTCGCCGCAACGTCTGCTGCTCTATCCCATACTGAACGCAGTGAAGACTTTATTCGAGCAGATCGTCTTTCCCTTTTCTTAGGGGAGTCACAGAGATTGCCACGTTTGCTGGATGAAGTGCCCAGCGAAGGCCCGCCTGGAGCCCAGGAGCCCTGCCGGTGAATTTGTGGAGAAGATGCTTCTTCTTTCTCATGGGATTTGTCCGCCATCTTTCCTTACCGTCACAACAATCCAGAGATCCAGAATTCAGCCGTTGTAGGTGCGCTGAATTTTAACTTTATATTCGGACAAGAAAGAGGGAGGTGAGGTGTGGGATAGATTGAATGAGTTTCCCCCGTTGGAAGACCCTAAAGATAAAACAAGATAGAGAGTTACATATGTCGTGACGGGCTATGAGTGTACGTGCTTTTTGAGAACACGCTTTGACATGGACAAGGACACTCTTTTGTCGCCTCAATAATCTCAACCGTTGATCCATGTGGATCATATCATCATCATCATCATCATCATTATTATTATTATAAAAACATATAACTCGATGGATTAATGGTTGATGCTAAGCAAAACGAAAAAAAAATGGATTAATGGTTGATAATAACTTGGACTCCGGAGGGGGCACTTATGGGGCAAATAATCTTCATCCGTGGTTACCCCTCCCTCTCCACTCTTTATATTTCAAAAAAATTGTGCTGCACAGGGAGGACAACAGGAGTGACACGTGGCCCTCTTTATAAGCGCCACATGTCATCTCTCTTTTTTTTTCCTCTTCCGCACATCGTATTACAAGGAAAATATTGAAAAATATGTAGATGGCATAGACAAGAAGGATAGTGTTTCACTCTTTTGAAAACCGTTTAATAAAGCTACTTGATAAGTCTTACAAAAATGACAAACACTTAGGAAAAGGAAGTCTCGCAATGGAATGGGTAGGTCATAAGAGCTTCATATTCAATATGTTTGTGGACAAGATCGTCAGGAAATGAAACGAAATAGTCCCAACTTCCTTTTCTTAATATATGAAACGAATTGTCAAAATTTCTGTGATTCTCGTATTTTGGAGTACAAGCTTCCCGCACGATACTACTTGTGTACATAGAGATGTAGGATGGGGGAAGTCCAAAAAAAAAACAAAAACAAAACTACTACAGTTGCAATTGTTTCTCAGAAAAATGAATTTCTCATTGGTAAAGAAGGAAGACAAGAATGATAGATATATGACATTCTCGACCATGTATCATAGGAAGAGGTATCATAAGACCAATATCATTTGAAAAATTACATGCAAAATGAAAACCAAAATGGGGAATTGAAGACACCATGGCCAAAAATGAAATCTAAGAAATACGCAGAAAAACAAAGGTTTCTTCTGTTACCATTTACCGATCGAGCATATATATGAAAGAAAAAGCATCGAAGTAAATAAAAGAGCAAGAGCAACTGTTCGATAATACAATTAAGTAGTATAGTACTAAAAATTGGAGATTCAGTACTTAATGAAATTAAACTTGTTTAGACTCCTTATTTAATTTTGACTTACAAACTTAATTAAATAAAAGGTCCACCTTACTGATAAAATAAGAAGAAGTATTGAAATTTTAAGGGTTGAAAATTAAATTAAAATGTTTTCAGATAATAAGTTAAGATTGATTATTGAATAATATTAGCTTCTTAACAAATACGAAATTGTAAATATCGTTGGCAGGTGTTAGGCTTTAAGCAATATAACAATTCATATTTTTATTCCTTTTTAATTGTTTTATTAAATGAATTAAATAACTACATCTGTACTTAAAAATTAAATGTTTTAACTTAATTGTACCTTTTTAAGTCCAAATTAGTCATAATTATCTAACGTGATTAATTTTATTAAGTGTTGAATATATTAATTCCCAACATTTTTGGAGTAATCAAACATGTCCTTAATGTAGTGACTAAGGGTTTGTTTGATAAAACTGAAAAATAAGTGGCGAAGATTTAAGCATTTAATTTTAAGCGTTGAACATAGACACAAAAAGTTACTTGATCGTAAAAATTGATCACTAAATATGATAAGTTTATTTACTAAAGTAAACATAAAAGTTGTGATTATTATTGGTAAGATTCTAATTCCTAGTAGTTATTTTTACTGGTGGACAAATTAAATAACCTTTTTTACTTACCAGATAAAGTGAACTTTGACTTAATTGCGTTTTTTAAATCTAATTAAGGCTATGCAAACAAGTTTAATCTCTTTAAATGCACAATTTTTAATTTTCAGTACTTAGTTAGGTTATCAAATAAACCCAAGGGAGGGCCTAGTTAGGACTTGTGTGATAAAACTAAGAATTAAGGACTCATTGGATAAAAGTAAAAAAATAAGTGATAAAAGGTGAAGTATTGAATATTAGTTGTGAATGTCTTTAAGCGGTGAAAATGTCAATAAAAATTATTTAATAGTAGATGAAAAAAATTGTTAGTTTATTAACAAACATGGAATAGTGAAGATTATTGCAAGGTTTTGATAAATAATTTGTAAGTTATCATTCAAACCAAAGGCAAACCACCAAAAACCCTAAACTATGTCTACTGTGATACATTTGCTGTAAACTTTTTTTTATTGATACAAAAATCCCAAACTTGTACATGTATGATGCATTTACCATCCGTTAAAGTTCTGTCCATAAAAACTATTAAAAATCTGCCTACATGGACATCGGAAAGCAAAAAATATTGACAAGTTTAGCGTTTTTTGATGTCACAAGAAAAAAATTATGGTAAATGTATCACCACAGGCA